GTTGAGAAAATTTTGGCGGGTGAAAAAAGTCGTTCGCACTAGAAATGGCTCCCTGTTAAAAATGTTTTTGCAAAACAAAGAAAATTTTGCTTTGTGCCAACTGGGTCCAAGTTTTTTTTAACCTTACTTTCATTTTCGCGGGATCTTGATATGACATGCACACACGTCTGTACTCTGTAAGCAGCTTCAAGCTCATTTTAGTTTACCTGAAATGCAATAAAATACACTTTACATGATTGATCAAATATTTCTCTATTTGTTTCTATCTGGAAGACTATTTTTACCTCATTTCTGACGTTCAAAACAGCGTAATCATCAACTTCGGCCCCTTCTGGCTCCGCCATTTTTAAATTTTACCGCTGGAAATCGGCGGCTCATGATTATGAGGTACCTACCATTTTGAAGACATCCTGCTGACTGATAGGACTGCGGGCATTGTCGAATGCCCTGACTGGTTCAAATCAGATTCAAATTAAGATTTGACTATATTTCGAAGAACAGCATTGCCTGTCAAAAAAGATACAGAAGTATTGGTATTGTAGCCCTAATGGATGTTAAAGTCCTACGAGTAAATTTCACCACCAAGTCTCGTTTTCAAAATATAAAGTTAAGAACTTTTAATTACATAAATGAATTCCCAAGGCAGGACAGTTAAAAAGAATAGCCACTCACAAATAGTGCAGATGCGAAGAATTTTGCTTTCAACCGAGGCTTGGTGGACTTGGTGGTGAAATTTGCTCGTCTGAAGTAATCTAGCCTGCGTAGCAAGCGTTTCCAGTTGGTTTCGGAGCAAAGAAAGACCGGTTTTGGCCGCGCGAGAAATGAAATGAGAGCCAAAAAATGAAAGAGGGGGAAGGGGGAGGGGGAGGGGAAGGAAGGAAGGTTTCCTTCCTTTCTTCCCTACCCCCTCTCTGCTCTTTTACTTGTGCCATTTTTCGCGCGGTCTTTGACTCTCGTTCCTCGTTCTTTGCTCCTAAACCACACGGAAACGCTTGCTACGCAGGCTAGACGTAATCACGCACGAGGGCCAGCAAATTAGGGGAGTGCATTCGATAGGGGGGGTTGGTAGCGAGGGGTAGCGGTAAGAGGCCTAGAGGCGTGCAAAATCTGATGGGCTTGTAAGATTGAGAAATCAAAATCAAACACTTTTATCAATATGAATATCAGCAGCTGTCCTTATCAGTGTTATTGTTTATCCCCCACCCCTCTTAACAATTCGTGACTATGTCACTTTTCCTCAAAAAAGCATGAACGTACTGTATTTATCTGGGGCGGATCTAGGGGAGGGTTCGGGGGGTTCGATGGAACCCCCTAAGTTAAAACAGCTGACGTCAAAAATTTGTAAAATATAAAATAAATACAGTGAATCTTAAATATAATAAATGCAATTAATTCATAACGAAGTTTAGCCTGCGTAGCAAGCATTTCTGTGCGGTTTAGCAGCAAAGAAAGAGGAACAAGGGTCAAAGACCGCGCGAAAAATGGCGCAAGTAAAAGAGCGGATAGGAGTGGGAAAGAAAGAAAGGAAACGCTTGCAGACAAACCCCTCGATTTTGAAAACCGCCCACTTGGCCTGTCATGCCTGAGTTTACGCACGACATTTGATGCTGTCATCAGCTGTCATAATTGGCCAATGAAATGTTTGTCCTTCCGTGGAGCGTACATGAACTTTAGAGGCGCGTGCGTGAAACCCAAATAACTTTTTTTCGTATTTTGGAAAGCGTGGACGGCGTTAATGGTGAAATCTCAATGAATCCGAACGATTAATGCAGGTTAAAGCTCAGCTAGACAGAACAGCTTACCGTTCTCGCCACGGCACAGACAACTAGAGTGCTCTTGTAAAAGTAGCTAAGAACAAAGCTGACCCGGCAGCTGATGAAGTTAGCGTGGAGAACCAATCAGCAATTTTGACTGAGTCACAATGCAGTTCTCTATAGTTGATGTAGCTTCGGTTTTTTTTATCTGTAAATCACTATCCGAGAGAATTTAACATCCTGCAAAAAAAAAAACACTAACGACCTGATGACAAAACATTGCAGGAAACCATCACACTCCCTGACAAAAGAAAATCGCTTTTAGTTATTCAGATCCAGGAACACACTTTGGAGAATAAATTAAAAGACCTGAAACCCTTATACAGTCGCAACAAGAGCTTTGCGTTTCAAAAGAAGTTGGAGAAAATGCTCTTGCATTGGAGGGTAAATCTTGCCGACCAGAGTAAACAGCAACCGCAGGAAATTAAGATGCGTGTCACGTACCATACATGACCTCTCAGTATGAAACAAACCTTTGATCGACACATGTCAATATTGTTCGACTAGCCGGGCCAATCAGTTCGCTGGCGAACGCAGGTTCTCAAAATCGAGGGGTTTGTCTGCAAGCGTTTCCTTCCTTCCCCTTCCCACCCCCTCCCCCATCTTTCATTTTTTTGGTTCTCGTTTAATTTCTTACGCGATCAAAACCGAAAATCCCCTTCCACGGTCTCTTTTTGCTCCGAAACCAAACGGAAACACTTGCTACGCAGGCTAAACAAAGTTAAGCCTTTGCTCCTCAATAAGGCTAAAACGTTTTCTCCATAAAAAAAAAAAAACAAATAAATTTTGGGTTCACTATGAATGTGGCTCTTTTTAATGTCTCTTTTCTCATGTTACTACGCCAGGATTTGCGAGGATCGATCGATCCAGGAAAGAAAGTAATTACGCTATTCTAACGCATGCGCATGCGCATGCTTCTCGTTTTCGTACCTTTTGAAACGCCAGTAGTGGATCTAGGGAGCAGGGGTACTCCCTTAAATGGCCCCATTTGTTTTTTAGTTCTTGAATTTGCGACTTTCATTGCGAAAGACTACATTCAACATTCATCTGGGAGCCAAAAACCCTTATGAGGTTAAAAGGAGAAATACGTTTTAGTTCTGAACGTCGGCTACATTAGTAAGTGTTAAGAGTTTGAGCATAAGGTCCCTATCGATTTCCCAAGGCCAAACCCGGACCCACCAGATATTGAGGGAAGAGACCATTTAGTAAAAGCATTATAGACAAAAAGAAGCTTAAACACAATCCGATGCGAGACCGGCAACCAAAGAAGTTGCACTAGTTCACATCAGTAACAAAACGAGCAGAACAAAGTGATTGGTTCCATTGGCCTTATCAGGGGCGTAGCCAGCCATTTGTTTCCTAGCAGGAGCCCTGAAGGGATGGGGTGAGTTGTAGGTAAAGAACTACCAGGTGGATTGGTGCAAATGGATCAATGCAGAATAAAACGTATGTAGTTAACCGCAATGGGATGAAAATAAAAGGAATAAAACACAAACTGAGGTAACAAACATCAGAAATAACAAATGCACAGTACATGCATTGTATAACTGATTTTTATAATATCGAACTTGACGTTTCATATGCTTCAACACACATTTTCAGAAGTGACCGTTAATATGAGTAGTAACTAAATTTAAATCAAAAAACAAAGTAAGATAAGTAACTAATTAACGTGAAGGAAAAAAAGTTACTACTCATGTTAACGGTCACTTCTTAAGATGTATGTTGAAGCATACGAAACGTCAAGTTCGATATTATAAAAGTCAGTTATACAAAGCGTTTGTTATTTCTGATGTTTGTAACCGCAGTTTGTGTGTAATTCCTTTTAAAACTGAGATGGCCAAAGACCAAGAGGATTTACGGCATGAAATTAACTTTGTTTGGTAGGAGCCACTTCAGGATCCATGGTCAATTCCTTAAAGTAACTGCCCAACACCTCTTAAAAACAACACAAACAAAGAAACAAGGAGTTTAATCTAAATGATTATAGCAGGTAATCAAAGTAAACAAAGGGGACCCCTGCAACCCCGGCTGTAAATACACCGTCTTTAAATAGGAATCAATCTCAAATATAGAACGTTTTCTCGACTTTATAAAACCATAAAATTTATCTTTTGGGCCCTCTCTCAGACCCAAATGACTGATTTCCCTACCCTTTTATATACTTCAGCTAGTGTAATCCCTATCCTTTCATATACCAGAAGTCTGAAAAAGTTACCCCGTTCGGGCGGAGCCTCCCCGTATAGGCCATCATGGGGAGTGCCCGTATTAAGTTAGGAGCACCCAACGTCAATTTTGGAAAAAATCTGTTCGGCAAACGAATTGAGATCTAGACTTTTCGGAAAATTTGTTGTAAAATTTCTTGCTTACCGGCCTCTCCTAGGATTTTCGAACATCTAAAAAATGGTATGATTGCCCATTTTTAACGGATTTTTACACTAAAAAGGTAACCTAGAATTTTCGGGAGCCTTTTTTCTGGCTGAAATTTTCGAAAAGGTAAGGTTTGATCCGCATAATTTTCGGATCACTAGACTTTCAGCTAGGAAATCCGAACAAATGAAAAATTTTTAGGGGATAAAAATATGCCTATATCTACCATTTAAATACTGAAATACGTTTAACAATGCTATGTTTAAGTGGATTTGAACTATATTCTCGTTGGTTGTCCCTGTTAAGTGCAAGTACACACGATATTAACATGCCATTACTTGAGCTGATTGTAACGCAAATTTTTGTTAAGCTCGGGCTTAAAGACAGCTACGCCCCTTCTTATATTCCGTGTTTTTTTCCATTTCCTAAATTAAGAACCAACCCTGATCTTCAATAAGAGTAAGAGATGTCTTAAAGTTTCTTCGTCTTACTTTTAAAAGTCGATAAAAGCGGTACGAATTTATAACGCCGTTAACTCTTTTATGATTGCTTTGGCACTGGTCCATTTTAGTAAAAAAAAAAAGAAAGGAATCTAACACTATACTATAATATAAAGTGCACTTTAAGGATCACATAGTTCACAAATTATCCAATCATTAGACAATAACCCAACTACGTAGCAGACAAACAACACGAAGGACTTCGCCAACGCTAAAAGCCATGCATGAGAGAAACTTCTGCTCGAAGCTGGGTACAGTCAACTAGTTCATGTTCCTTACAAGCTATTGTTCATGAGCAGTCCGAAAGGTCAAGACAATGGCGGAAAAAAACCTCAAATGGTACAATATCTTGGAGGTTCTTTTTGGAACCGTTCTTAGCTTTGCAGACCCCATCACTGACATTCTCACACTAGTGGAATTCTACCGCGCAGATCACAAGACATGGTTCGGTGTGGGGCTTACATTCATTATTTTTCCATGTTTTGTTTATGTCATAAGTCACGCTGTGTTTGAATCGAGAGATGATGAAGAATCAGAACAGGAAGAGCGCCAGAGTAGGGCTTGCAAATACACACATATTTTAGTCCTTGGATGTAATCCACTCTTTCCGGCCTGGCTGAAACTGCGAACGCTTTTTTTCTACCTAAAGAAGTTACTAAAATTCAGGCAAGGTAACAACAACGATCAAAAGGGTGAAGACTTCGATGGTCTACTGAGTTTAAGCAAATTCGCTGTTCTGGCCGAGGCCGCTCTTGAATCAGCTCCTCAGTTTATTATTCAGCTGTACGCCATGGTTGTTCAACAGGAATCGGTGTCGATCATTCAAATGGTTTCCCTGCCCGTGTCTTTCCTTAGCTTGGCTTGGGCGTCTACTGTTGCTGATGAGTTCATTCACAGTGACGGAGGACACCTCTATTTCAGCGTCAAAGAAAGAGTTCTAATGTTTTCAACGCACTTATTCATTTTAAGCAGCCGACTCTTTGCAGTTGCTTTGTTCACCGTAAGCTACAAGTGGTGGGTTACCACTGTTTTGATCTTTCACTGTACGGGAATAGCTGTATGTGACATCGTTTGGCATAGCAGAGGACGAGGCTGTGGCAAACGAGTCAAAGGACGGAGCGCCTGTGTGTCTATTTTCTTTTCTTGCTTCAATTGGTTACGAGATAATTTGTCAATGGTAATAGTCATAACAGGTGACGACGGGACAGAAAACAGAAACAAACATTTAAGAAGAATGCAACTGGTCTCCAACGTACTGTTTGTGATAGAGAACATCACCATGATCCTGTTGTTTTATTTAAGTCATTTTCGTCACACCTGGTTCTCCTTACCAGTCACCATCTGTGTCTGTTTGTTTGCTGTTCTTGGAGCCGTAATGAGGCTCACTCTCTTCTATTTCATAACGAAGGAATCAGATAGTCGCCGATCCAGGAGTACCCAACGATCATATGCACTGAGTAGCACTCGTAAAATAACCCTTCCGTGGTTGCAGCAATATATATTTGAAACGTCGATATAAATAGCCTGACTTTGTATAGTACGTCTCAAGTTAATTTGTGATCGGTGATAATGTTGGCTGAGACAGTGTATAATGTTTAAGAACCGCAACAAGGAAAAGTAGTGTCAATTGAGACACAAATTTAAACCATATTCTGTTGATTAATTCACCGTTCTTGCTTGTACTCATTTGTAAATCACTTATTATTTATTGTTGATTTAATTAGTCCAAGCTAAAACGAAAATAAACCAGAGGCGTGATCCAGACCTTCAGATAAGGGGAAGGGGGCGGTCATCCAGACCCTGACGGGGGGGGGGGGGGGGAAGCGCGGGGTGTTGCCAAAAAAAATTTTTGGCCCCGCGGCTTCGCCCCTCGGATTTTTAAAAAATAAAACGGGGGAGCTTGGGGCCCTCTACACTTCCACCCGGGTCCACCCCTTCAACCGTGAAATATTTTACCGTTAAACAACAGAGTCCAAAAAGTACTATATTTTA